CATGTTTAACCTTTGTGATCAAGGTACCAAAACAGGGATTTTGCTCACTAACACTGTAACCTGCTTAATGTATAGCACTTTGTATTTAAACTAAACAAAACCAAAAAAAAAAAAAAACCACAAAAAAACCCCCCAAAAAACAGACAAAAAAAACCCCTCCGAAAACAAAAACAACAGAAAAACCAAACCATAATACTTTATAAGTATGTTTTTTAAACTTAGAAATTATATTCCCTCTATGGTTTGTTTACACACTGCTAACACTGTCCTTTTTAATACTAAAAAATACTATAATGCTTGCCTGTTTACATGAGGGTAGAGGAAAGGGTTCTCGCACTCGGTGGCCCTATTTTTCCATTCTCCAAGGCCTTACCACATACATGGTGTCATTTCTGTAAGTACCATCATCACATTTGAAGGAAGGCATTAGAATCATGGAATGGTTTGAGTTGGAAGGAGACTTTGAAGGTCATCTACTTCCAACCCTTTTGCCATAAGCACGGACACCTTCAGCTAGGCCAGGTTGCTCAGAGCCCCATCCAGCCTGGCCTTGAACATGTCCAGGATGTTTATTCTCATACTCATTTCAAGAATGATCTTGTATATTACATTGGTTCTCAGCCCCTTTCCAATTGTTGCTTTAGTTTTGCATAAAAAGGTTAAGGGTGCCTCTTTCGATTTAACCATAAAAGGGCTGGACAGAAACACCAGTCTGAAAACTGTGGTCAAAAAAAAAAAAAAAAAAGTTGAACTCAGACCATCCTACAGAGCTGCCAGCAAAACTGTTTCTTTTACCAGCTTGGAATGACTTTTATATGGAATATTTCAAGGTTTAATGTTACTTCTATTTGCAGTTAGATTACTTTGAAATAGAGCTTTAAAATCAAATGTACTGCGAGAGACACTTTAAAGATTTTATAACAGGTTCAGTAGATCATATTATAGAACCATGTCCTTTTTAAACGACTTAGCATGAATAGTAACTTTTTAGTATTTGCCTCTTGCTGTTTTACTCCATATTATGGCATTGTCTTGAAAGTCCAGCAAATGTTGCTCCAGTGATTTTTGTAGCACTTGGCTTTCTGCTGTTAATTTACACAAAACAAATTGATTGCAGGAAAATACTGATCTGATTGTCATGAGATCAGGTTGAGAGGATTGATGATTTAAGGATAGCGTGAGATACATGTCTAAAATTCTTACATTTGCATGTCACAGGTGAAACAGTTGTCTTGTGGTATTTTTCTTGAACTCAGTTTATTGCCCTTTGTCAAACTTCTAATCACCAGTTCAGGTACTGGGGGAAAGATAAAATATCACTTAAACCATCTTCCTCAGGCTCAGCTTAAGTCTCTTCTCCCTGCCTCTTCTCCCTGCCTTTGTATTCTCAGTTTTCTTGCTTTCACCAAGAGTTGTACTCAGTTCCTGCCATTTCCTTTAGTAAGGTGACAGGTCACAGAGGAGGTTGGGGTCATATGCACACTTCCTTGTCTGATGCTTTTCATTTCTTAGTGGGTGTCCTCTGGTGCTTTGGCCTGGTCAGTGTCACTATTCATGGTGACACTGGGCCACAGTCCCTTCAGGGATGTATGTGTCTGTTCCGGCTTGGTTCTTCTGTGGAACTCAGTTATTTCAGAGGTGTACCTGCTCTAGCAGGGCTTAGCTGTAGGCCAAAGTCATCTTAGAAGTGAATCTCCTCAGGCAGGGAGTGTGTCCTTCTGTGAGTGTGTCTATACATGTTCTCAGTGACTTCTTCAGGTGTTTTCCCAAGAGCAGCTCTTCAGTCTCTTCACCTGTATCCCGGAGTATCTTCTCCATGTGTCTCCATGCACCTCTTGCTAGCAGCTGCCACTCTTCCTTAAGTGTATTTAGCAGAAGCATTTTGTGCACCTCTGGTTGAGATTTTGGCTTACAGTGGATTGTTCACATCCATTTTTTGTGCACACTGAACTTCTTTTGACTAGTGCAGGGCAGCCTGCAAACTAGCCACGTGTCACCCCTGCAGTCCCTGCCACTGGTGGCCAGTGCAGTTGAACATAGCAAGCCAAGACATACAGATGCAGCTTCTGTCAAGCTTCTGATCTTTGCTAATGGAGTGGTCTTGTTCAAGGTATGAAAAATTATTTCTTATTTGTGGGGAGGAGGGAAGCAATCCATATATATGTATATATATAATATGACTGCATATGTATATGATGAATTTCACTAATCTTCCCATATGCTTCATTACCTTTGATGATGTGGCTGTTGGCTGTAGTAAAGTGAGTGTCTTCTGAGAACCAGCCATATTGTATACCCAGGTGGCTTTCAGACTTTCCTGCTGCTTTGAAGCCATTCATTGTCCTAGCAGTGGTAAGAAGACTTAATAATACTACAGCTAAGTTCCTTTTCATTCCATTTTGTAACTATGATGTTAATTACCATGGAATCTGTGTAACTGCCATTCTGAAAATTCAACTGTTAGCAGGGTTAAAATCTGCTGAGGTGTATATTGGACCCTTTTGAGGGAGAAGGTTCCTGTTTCACACACCAGTGTTGGTTTGCGGGGTGCTTTTTTGTTGTTTCATTTTTTAAACTTTCCTTGTTAGTTTTATGGGTGAGCAGATAGACCCTAGAAGATATTGTCAGTACAATTTTTGGTCACAGCTTTTTTCATCTGAGGTGTGTCTAAGGTTGAGAAACCATCCTGTATCATAAGCAAGGCAGATGATCAAAGGCTTATGTATGGAGTGTTCCAGTGTTACTGATCATGAAAGAAAGGAGGCATATCAGGATTTGTAATTTCAATGCTTTTGTGTGGGTACCAGCAAGATGACCTGTCTCTGAATTATGAGAGCCCACAGCAGTACATTGAGTGTTTTGCTATAACAGAATTAGGACCCTTCTCAAAGCAACAAAGGAAAGTTGGGGTTTTTTTGTCTTTTAAATGCTTCATTGGGTAGCTTGGCTTCTTTAGCTATTAGCTGTAAACTGTCAGTGGCCTAGGGGAAGATGCTGGAAAAGAAGATGGTATATTTTTAATGTGATTAAATTGCAAGTTCTGATTTTTGCTTGAAGCCTGTGTCTGTCGATTGCTGCTCCTTTTTTTTAATTCATGGGATTCCATATTTCTTTCAGAAATGTAACTGTTTATGCAAGTCAAGTGAATCTTCCTTAATGAGCTATAAGTTTTTATTCTAAACAAGTCATTTATAATAGTAAATTTGCATATCTTGATATTTTGTGAGATGTTATGCCTGTATTGCAGAGGTTGGATAGTTTTGTCTATAAATATTGCTGTCCTAATTGTACAGCATGGTTTTAATTTAATGTTACTGTTCAATATTTTCTTCTTATAGAAGAGTCCCATGCCCCTTTTTTTCTATAACATGTTTTAATAAATGTTATCTGTCAACTTTGTAAATGTTTTCTTAAGCTTGAATGAAAGGAATGCATGTCTAGTACTAGTATTTAATATTTCACTTTGCCAAAATAAGTGCTCAAAAGTAAAAATCCAAAAGTTGTTGATATATAACTTTATTAAATATATTAAAAAGTGTATCTATCTAGTAATGTGTCTTCTTGAAATAATGATAACATGCCAGCCTAGTCTAAGATAACATTAAACTAAAACCTGATTTTTATGACACAGTAAGTTTGATGAATTTGTGGAATTAGACCCATTTCTTTGCTGCTTTAGGTAATTGGCTTCCATGCTAGTTCAAATTTGTCAAACAGGTTTTGTTGTAACTGGTTTTTTTTGCAGAACGATGATCTCTGAAGTTACAATAGAGAATGTACATGCTGGTAGAAAAATTCCAGAACACTCACTTCATAGTTGCAGCAGCCACATGTCCAAAAGGCCTCTTGGTACAGTTGGAGTAAGCAAAGATAACATGGATTTTTTTTTCTTGACTAAGTATGAAGGAAATTTCTTGCTGTGAAAAGTATTAAAGATTAAGTTTCCCTTACCTTCCTGTGAGGCTTCTTTCTCTCCTTCACTAAATTTAGATACTTATACTGAACACTTGATTTTGTCCAGCCTCCATCTGCTCAGTCCTTGTGGAACTGTCCCAGCCCCTGCTTACTATGTAAGCAAAAAATGAACTCGTTCTCACTGAAAGTATGTTCAGTCAGTACCCAGAGAAGTCAATATTTATGTGACACAGTCTTCATCAAATTCAAATGGAATATGGTACAAGAAGATTAATTTTCTATTTTGGTTACATTTACTGAACACAGAAGAATAAGCCCAAAGTTTTCTGTCTGTTCAGAATTACTTGTTTGAGTGTTTTTTATCTGAGTGAACAAATACAGTTTGTCTCTGTGTTCTTTAACTCTGTTATTTGTGCCCTGGCCAGGATGCTTCTCAGGCTGCTGCTTTATTTGATCAGCATTCAATGCCTAACGTGTGAAGATTCTGTTCTGTATCTTAAAGGGAGAGAAAGACATACCTCCAGAAGACAGAATGTGGTGTCTGGTTGGACCGGGTGGATATCCCAGCAGGACCTACTGGCACCAGTCACTCTGACTGTTTTCTACGTGATAACCAGTACACGAACTGTCTGGTTCATAAACTGAATCCTTGCACTACCTGACCTACAAGCATATGCAGGATAACGCAAAAAAAAAGTTAGCACATGCTTGCTGAAGTGATTTCTGTGAGTGACAAGGCCAGTATAACACAGGTGAACTTTTGAATTCTTTGCTCAATAAAGGTGGCAGTTAACAGCTGGAGCGGGGGATGTCCTCCCCCAAAAACCCCCTCGCTGTATCTGCGACTGCCCATGGGGGCATGACTCTGGGTTCTCTTCTGGAGCTGCACGCCGTGCGAGTTCTCGGAAGAGCTCTGCCCGCGCACGCAGCGGCTCCAGCCCGTGCCCAAGCCTCCTGCCTTGGCGAGGAGCGCGCTGCCGGGGCGGCCGCGCCCGCCGGGCGGGGGCAGCGCCCGCGCTGCCGAGCGGCCCGCGGCACCGCCCGCCGCCGGGGCGTCGCCAGGAAGCGGAACGGCCGCCAGCGCAATCAGTTCCGGGTGCGAGTGGCTGTGGGAGCGGGCGGGAAGCGGCGCTGGGAGCGGCCCGGGCCGGCCGGGATCCGCCATGTGAGAGCCCCGGACAGCCCCAGGTGAGCGAGGGGCGCTCGGCCGGGGCGGCGCGGCGCTCCCCGGTGGGACGGGCCGTGCTCAGGAGGGCTCCCGGCGCCTGACAGGCCCCGCGGGGCGGCGACCGCGGCCCGGCGGGCCGTGGCTCGGTCCGGCTGCCTGGAGCGGCGGCAGCGGCTTCGTCGAGGCGGCTTTCGCCCGGCCGTGCCTGGGCAGGAGCTGTCGCGTAAGCCGAGTCGGCGGCTCTGGTGCAGCCTTGGCGTGCGGGCAGGGAGGGCGGACGCGCCTGTGACGGGGTCCGCTGTTAACCCGAGCGAGGCGTGGAATCCTCGGCACGGCGGACTGGGGCGGAACGAACCTGGCCCCGTGCGGGGAGGTGTTCATTGCCGGGAGCTGCGGGACCTTTCAGCTGCTGCTGTTCCGTCCGGTGGAAGGTCTAGGGAAACCGCAATCTCCGTAATGCAAAGGTCTTTCCAAATCCCGGCAGGTGTGCACAGCACGTAGGATTGGAATTGGCTTAGAGTAAATCAGAGTCGAGAGTTAATTTGGAACGAGCCAGAACAGTCTTAGAAACATAGATGTGGGTGAGCCTGGTTTCCAAGGGAAAACAAAGTGCTATGGGATTAGCTGCACTGCAGTTGTTACATGTTAGAGAATACTCAACATCTGGATCAGAATGTGCCTGTGTTTCATTGCCTGTCCAGGGACAGCTCCAAACAGTTCCATCTGTCCCAAGTCGTGTGCTAGGAAAATACCACGAAAATGTGCTCTTTGCAGCTATTGTAAATCTACTGCAAAAAACGTTGCTGATATCTAGAGAACATAGCCACTTCATTACGGTAAAGAAACATCAGAGCCAAAAAGTCAACAATTTGATGAAGAATGGCTACTGTTAAAAAACAAACAAACAAAGCCCCACCAAAAACAAAAAAGAAAGTGGACAGATTAAAATGCACAATAGTGATCAAGTACTACCTTGATAGTAAATAAAATTATAATATCAGAAGGTTCAAGAACTCTCTTCCCACTTTGTGAAAGTTCCAGCTATGTATATATCCTCACTCTCAAAATACCGGCTGGATTTTTTTTTTTAATGGTAGTGACATCTCAAAGTTGTTAGGTATTCAGAAAATGTGGCTATTTTGCATTACATTATGGGGATATTGTGAAATTTGTGCACAAAATAAAAGCTTTTGATCATTACTTGTAAGATCTTGCTTTGATGTGTATGTATCATCAACATGCCCCTTTGTTTTGTTTGTCTGGCACAATACATTTGTTGATACTGGAATCATAGACACATAGAATAGTTTTATTTGGAAGGCACCTTTTGATCTTGGCTTATCTCCAGTTTGCCTCCTGGTAACTATTTTTTTGCATTCAGAAATAGATGCGTACCTGCAACTACTGTTATGGCAATTTGATTTTTGCAGTCAAGATTTAGAGATTATTCCTATTGAGGTTTCTAATTCTTAGGTGAAACTATTTTTATGCATTGATAGGTGTTTCATTTTTTCCTTTTCAATCACTTCCACACAGGCAAGCAGTTTGAAGAGGACAGTTAAGAGAATAAGGGACTAAGGTGTCACTTGGACTTCAGTTTCATATCTGCTTTCTGTGGATACTTGCTCAAATAAAAGGGTCCTTTTTTTTCTATAAAATCCTAAATATGCAGTTCCAACAACATCTCCGCTGCACCATGCAGACCACTGAGAATGAGTTTGCAGTGTTGCTGGTATTGGCATGTGCTTCTGTATGCATGTCCATGTATGTACATACATCTAAATAAATTTATTTTATTTTGATGCTAAAATCATCCACTCTTTGAAGTAATTTTCTGTACATCATGTTGTGAATCTTGGTTAGTTAAAAATGAATACTTTAAAATTTTTGTTAGACAAATGTCTGAATTAGTAAAGCTTTACTGAACTGAGTGTCAGGGGTTACTGCTTTGCTCCCCAGGCAGTTAGTGAGGTTGTGTCCCACAGCACTGCCAGAGACCTCACCTGCCAGGCAGGAGCTTTGCTTGTGGTTTCACTGCAGCTGTTCAGTACTTTGGGTAGAATGTGGCCTGTTTGGCTGCAGAGAAGAAATAATTAGTTTCACTGGAGTGGTCTGATACCTACGGATGCAAGAATGTAAGAGCTAAGTTTTCTAGCAACTACAGTTCAGCCTGTATTAACTGGCTTGTGTTTCTGAGGAAGTGGGCATTTCCTGCATTTTTAGGAGGTAAAGTAATAAAGTTTTAAATTGCTGTGTAGTTGTCACCTAACAGATTTTGTATTGGAGTCCAAACCAGACATGAAGCAGACTAACTTTCAAGACTAACTGTTTTCCAATTAATAATATGCCACATGCACCTTTTGTGTGTGCTTTCCTGCAGATAATTTAGGCAAACTGCCTCTATCTTCTTTGATTCCAATGGGCATTTTGGAGGAAGTGAAGAATTAATGCAAAAACCCATTCTGCATATTTGCATAGTGCTGCTTGTATTATTAGAAATTTGTTGAACTTCAAAATGTTCACAGTTGTTAGGAGATTATGTGGGTTTCTTACCCTCCTTTAGTTTTGGGTTTTTTATTGGCTGCAAAATTAAACTCTGTTTTTTATCAGTGGGGTAGGTCCCCCTGCTTTGGGGATGGAGTTTCAGTACAGCAGCCGTGCTGTGTGGCATGCTATTTAAGGCCATCCAAGAGCACTGTATATCGACTTTTAAAGGATAATTAGTATTTCACTGTTATGAGAGGTATAAACTGTTAAAATGTTCTATGATCATTTGCTCCCCTATTTTCAAAGATTATTTCAAGAGTGTCTTGGAGACCTCCCCCTAGCCTGTGACATACTTGATGGCAGTTTTCCTTTGATACAGCTAGTGTTAATTACTGTGGCTTTTGTAAATTTGAAGAGTGATGCAAATGCAGTCTGAAAAGAATAAGAGTGATGAAGACTTTTACCCAAAAACTTCCACGATCATAGCTGATAAGGTAACTTTCCTAGGTTAAAATTCACTTGAATGATATTTGCAGTGATGATGTCCTGAGTTCTCACACAGATGGTGCAGATACTAGGTCCTACAAAATGCAAGGGAGGAGTGCACTGATTTATACAAATACCTGTTTATTTTCTTGCCCTTTCTCTGTATTCTGAGCAGTAATGTGTGGAGGAAGTATCATACTGAAGTTGAAAAGACCTCCAAGATCATCGAGTCCAGTCTAACTGATCGCCGCATTGTCAACCAGGCCAGGGCACTGAGTGCCACATGCGTCATTTCTGTAACTCCTCCAGGGATGGTGACTCCACCCCCTCCCTGGGCAGCCTGTTTCCATGCTTAACAACCCTTTCAGTGAAGAAATTCTTCCCAATTTCCAACCTGAGCCTCCCTTGCTGCAGGTTGTTTCCTCTTGTCCTATCACTTGTTGCCTGGTAGAGGCATTTTTGGTGTCATGGAGTACTTTGTTTTGGTTTTGTCTTAACTTTCATTATGACCCTCCTATGCATTTCTGTTCTCAGATGTGCTACAACAGTAATGGTTTGTAATGTGGGTTTTTTTTCCAAGGATTCCTTGTTGCTGAGCTAATTTAAGAAAATGTAAGGGATCTTTTCTCACACCTTAGTGTGAGTTAAAATGAGTATAATTTGTGTCATTCACCTGTCTGTGGGAATGGTGAATCATACTTCAGTGAGTGAAGGAAATTAAACAGGTGCAGACTTAGAAGCAGAAACTAATACTATGTTGGCAGACACACAGCTTCGTGTTATAGTTATATGATGCTTCTCCACTGCTACTGTATGATGTCAGTAAAATTAAATACCTAATGTGGTTTGTCAACATCTATTCTTGTTTTATAAATTAAATAAGCATTTTCCTAGAACATAATTTTTAAAGGAAATTTATTTTGAAATCTAATAAGAAATGTTATCCCTCTGGTGTTCAGAGGTACTTCAATGAACACTTTTCTTTGAAGCCATAGGGCAGCGATCCACTACTACTAAAGCCATTTTGCGGGCTATATTTGCTGTATAAAACCCTGACGAATAAGTGTAATTCTCTTTGCAGGTGCAAAGAGAATTTATATGATTCTTTTGAATGTGACTGCATCATCTGCTACAAAATAGATGTGAGGCTCAACACAGAGCCCTTCTAGGACTTAGTGAGCTTGGTGTGGAGTTTTGGCCTGTGCCTTCAGCCAGTTTCTTGGATACATAATAGTTATGAAAACCTTAAACACTTTGACCTACTTTTGAGGAAAGGTTAAGAGAAGATCTAATTGTAAACAGGTTCCCAGACTCTAAGAGTTACTTACAGATATGTATATGCATATGGATATAATGGAGTGTTCTAACAGTCATGATAGGCAAGGATCACAGTGGATTCCTGTCTCCTTGGTGACTTTCTGCTTCTCATGCTTTCTCTGGTATGTGTTTACAGTCCATTTTCAGTGTGTGGCTGTGCCCCAGGGACCATGAATTCCTCTAGAGATGCTATGATGAAAAGAGTATCATCTTTTCCCCCTCTATCATAAGGCATAAAATGTCCATGTTCTTTCTTCTCAGGTACCTACCCTTAATTAATTCCTTCTGTCTGAACCAGAGTTAGTGGTGACAATTTATATTTTAATACTTTCTCCAGGAGTAAGTTATTCTCCATTTTGCTGGGTAAGAGCCCTTAGGGGGAAGTATGGGACAAGGAGGAACTCCACTGTCTATATGTGACAAACTTTCTGTACATCCTAGGCTAGAATGCCAGATTATTGTTGCTGGTGGCTGGTCTTTTGGTTTGTACAGAGTCCCTGACCCAGGTAACTTGTCTATTCATGTCACTTCAAGTCAACACAAACTCTTCCTCCATTTAGCACAGAAACTTAATCACGAATGGCTGATGTTGCATCTGTGCATAGCTAAAAGCCCCACAAATTAAAGGTTTCCTGTGCTGGGTTTCTAAGGAGCTTGCTGCCCTGTCAGACACAAGTGAAGGTGACAGATTGTGATGGTGCATTCCCTCCCCCCGGTGATTCCTTAAGTGACCTTAAAACACTCATTCGTGACACAGACATGCATCCAACTGCTGATACTCCTGTCTTCTGCATAGGACTGGGATAGTGATTCTCTGCACAACAGGCAGGGATGCTCAGAAAAGCAAAGTCAATCTTGCCATGTAACTGCCCCACAGCTGGGATAGGTTATGTGTTGTGCTGTTTTATTTTTTACTTATATCAGCTCATAACTCTGGACTGTTTTGTACCTTTGTTTGCTGAATGAAAGAACTGTCCAGCCAAAGCCATCTCTGAAGGGATTGCTGCAGACATGTCACTTCTAGTAGCCATTTTGCAGTCCTTATTTCTCACCTCAGATGTAAGAGCCTAGAAAATGTCTTTTTTCTCACTTATACCTCTCAGCCAAAAAACCTCAAATTTATTCCAATTTACTTATTTTAATGGGTAATGACACTGGTGAGTTAGTGAACATATTTAGCAAGTCTGATAACTTGATTTTGAATGTTCTGTGAGAGTTTTTGCCAGTTTTCTAAGTCAAACATAATGTCCAGACAGGAAGCTGGCTTTCTTGTGTCTGCTGAAAAGAAGTTCCATTTTTGAAGGTTGTGAATGTTAGTTTTAAGTGAGGGTCAGCTGATAGAGCTCCAGTGCTTCCTTTTAGGCTTTTAATCCTATTTCTACCTGTCAGTTTTCTTTTTAGAATACCTGAATTTTCATAATTTGATTTAAATTGTTCCTGTGTCCCATTACAGCATGTAACATAATAGAAAAAAAAATCCACTAGTATATTGTGATACATTGGATATGCTTCCTGCATCTGAAGTCAATGGATGATGTTGAGATCTGTTTGTTCAATTGGAAAAGCAGGTACGGTGGCAATATTATGTCTTTAGACTTCTGCATTAATAAAAACTAGAATAGCAATAAAAATCTGAGGGTTCTTGGGCACTTGATTAGTGTTCAGTCTTGGAAATGTAGGGTAATGATGCAGATCAACATTCTCAGGCTGATAGTGTGTGTGTGCTTTTTACAATAGTAATCTGTGAAAAGTGCTTTTCTTTAGCTTTTGTTTGGAGTGCTGTACATTTCTTTAAGGCTTCTTTGAATATCCTTTCCTGCTGTTTAAGTACCCATGGCTTTTAACTTAGGTTAGAATTTAAATGTCAAATTATTCTAGCTAGGAAATCTGCTGTGTCAGATGAGCTTCAAAGTTCACACCATGGTTTGTTAAAAAAACCCAAAAACTAAAATCACAAGAGACTTTTTTTTTTTTTAAATTGAAAGTCCATGGGTGGCTCAAACATTTTTCTTTCAAATCTTTCGGATTAAGACTGTGCTTTTTTATTATACGGAGTATTTATGCTAAATGTTTTGTTGTAATGCACCTTTAACAGATCAGTGGGGTGATGTGACGTAAACATTTGCAAGCATTTGTTTTTGAAATGGAAAACTCTGTATTCATTCTCTGTTTTAAATCTTCCAATTTTTTCTTTCAGATTACTCTTTACATCTGTAGAAATGGACAGCAGCAGTTTCATTCAGTTTGATGTGCCGGAGTACAGCAACACTGTTCTGAGCCAGTTAAACGAACTCCGCTTGCAAGGGAAACTCTGTGACATAATCGTGCACATCCAGGGTCAGCCGTTCCGTGCCCATAAAGCTGTCTTAGCTGCCAGCTCTCCCTATTTCCGCGACCATTCAGCATTAAGCACCATGAGTGGCCTATCTATATCAGTAATTAAAAACCCCAATGTTTTTGAACAGTTGCTTTCTTTTTGTTACACTGGAAGGATGTCCTTGCAACTGAAGGATGTTGTCAGTTTTCTGACTGCAGCTAGCTTCCTACAGATGCAGTGCGTCATTGACAAGTGCACACAGATACTGGAGAGTATTCATTCAAAGATCAGTGTTGGTGATGTTGATTCTGTTACTGTTGGTGCTGAAGAAAATTCAGAGAATCGTAATGGCGTTAAAGACAGCAGCTACTTTGCCAACCCTATTGAGATATCTCCTCCCTATTGCTCTCAGGTGCGACAGTCAACAGCAGGCAGTGATCTTCGGATGGAAACTACTCCAGGCAAAACTCTTCGTAGTCGTCTGCAAGAAGAAGGGCATTCAGACCGAGGGAGCAGCGGGAGTATCTCTGAATATGAGATTCAGATTGAAGGTGATCATGAGCAAGGAGACCTGATAGTAAGGGAAAGTCAGATTGCAGAGGTGAAAGTTAAAATGGAAAAGTCTGACAGACCAAGCTGCTCTGATAGCTCTTCCCTTGGTGATGATGGATATCACACTGAAATGGTGGATGGAGAGCAGGTGGTGGCGGTAAACGTTGGTTCCTATGGGTCTGTCTTACAACATGTTTATTCATTTACTCATGCCTCATCACAGGCTACAGGTGTGTCAGAAACCTTTGGAAGCATGAGCAATACAAGTCCTTCAAGGTCAATGCTGAGCTGTTTCAGAGGGGGTCGTGCACGCCAAAAACGAGTACCTACGGGTCACTTGCATAGTGATGTCCAGGGCTTGGTGCAAGGGGCTGACAGTGAATCCATGGTGAGTAATCCAGGATATGAAAATAGTCCACGGGAAAGAAATGCAAGAGGTCATTGGTATCCATACAATGAGAGGTTAATTTGTATTTACTGTGGCAAGTCTTTCAACCAGAAAGGGAGCCTTGATCGACACATGCGATTGCACATGGGAATAACTCCTTTTGTGTGCAAGTTTTGTGGAAAGAAATATACCCGTAAGGACCAACTTGAGTATCATATTCGTGGTCACACAGATGACAAACCCTTTCGCTGTGAGATCTGTGGAAAATGTTTTCCTTTCCAGGGTACACTAAACCAGCACTTGCGAAAAAATCACCCAGGGGTTACAGAAGTGAGAAACAGGGTTGAGTCTCCAGACAGAACAGAATCGTTTGTGGAACAGAAAGTAGATAATGATGCTTCAGCTTCTGAAGCCATGGATTCTAGTATGGAAATTCATGCAATGTCTAACACATCTGATTAAAATCATACATCTAAGTGAAACACAGACAAGCACATTACTAATGTATTTTTAAAGTATTTTATTATTTTAGTAATCTTCAGTACAAGTGTAACAGCCTTTTCATTTTCCTCACCTTCTGGAAATCAGTTAGAAATGGTTTCTGGAGAAGACTTCAGAAGTATTCTTTGGTTTTGAAGGAGGCTGAATTGTTCAGAGTTTGTTTTTTTATATTTGAAGATGCTCAGAGTATAAAGACAGTGTACTGGGGAAAGTCTAGGAAGAGTCTGGTGAAGTGTCCCTGCTGATTGATCTGGTGAGATGCAAATGCCAGTGGAGAAAGATATTAGAATAAGATTGGCAGCTCTGCTGAATGCTCAAAGAAGCTGTAATTTCCTTTATTTCTTAAATCCTGTTGCTGGTAATGAGTTACACAGCAGTTGGGAGAGAGAATATTACAGCTGTGATTCCTCTCCTGTCACAATGTTCACTCTTACTAACTGGTTTTGGTAGTGAGACTGTTTATATATATAAATTTGCTTTATATATATAAAATGCTTTCACTTTACCTGTTCTGTGTCAAGGCTAATACCATATGCCACTCTATCAACCATTAGGACTCCTCTCTGCTTAGAGTTTAGAACTTTGGACTTTGGGAGGATGGTTTTGGTTTTAAACAAATGTTGTTTGGTTTTCATTTTATTAAACTATTACTTTGTGTGCAAAAGTGAGCAAAGTGAATTACCTTGTTTTAATAGCTTTGCTTTATAACATATGTAAACCAAATGCCATAAATCTATTAAACTATGGTTAAATTGTTGAAAGGTTTTGTTAGTTGTCTAGGATGCAAGCTGGACAACCTGTGGTGCTGACCTTTTTATATATATAGAGATAGATATATCTATATATATATATATAGATATACACACATATATATATATCTATATATTAAAAAAAATATTAGCAAACCTAAAAGTAGCATTGTGGTCTAAAATGTGTTTTTACTGGCCTCAGAATCTACCTTCATTTTGTACTGTAGAACCATACCAGGTAATTAAACTTAACTTCATCACTCTTCATGGTTGGCTAAAACATGAGAGAGATGTAGTTTAAACCACAGTATTTCCAAGCAGTATTTTAATAGGTCTCTTCACAGAGAGCTGTTTTCAGGTGCACGTTGGCTTCCTACTTAAATCTCCGAGTGACATGCCAGCACTTGGAATTTGTACTTTTTTTGTATAGAAAAACAAATACTTTATGGGAATTTTGAGCAATATGTTATTTCATGTGTGAGTATTACAGAGTTGCTATGGCCTCTCTGTTTTTTCAGTGGTTTTTTCCTCTATAAAGGAGCTACCAACAACTTTAAAAATACTCTAAATCTTTTTTGTTTCACCAAATATATGTTTTTAATATGGTGCTAACTTCATAATTTAGGTCAGTATAATATATAACATGTGAAACATAATGGTCAAGGAAAAGAAATCCCCAAAAACAGGCAAACAAAGGCCCCCCCCTACACAAACCAACTCCCCCAAAATCCCAACCAAACAGGGAAAAAAAAAAAAAAAAAAAAAAAAATTAAAAAAAAAAAAAAAAAAAACCCAACCCCAAACCCCAAAAAAAAAAAAAGGCCTAAAAGACCTCAAAAGCATGGGCTGGCAAACACTACTGTTTAACATTCTACCTGATGAACAGAATTAATTATTAAACTAATCACATACTTCTTTAGAATACAGGTTTTATATTATTGGGTCTTATGTTTGTTTAGCTGATACTGAAAATCCATTTGTGAACATGTTGTTTAACTCCCAAAAATTAGAAAATAAATGCTCTTCTCTAAATTATTCAAAAGAAAAAGGTAGGTTTGATATCTTTTAAAACTTTTTGGCCTCTGTGAAGCTGGGGCATATTTGTGCAGTGGCTTTATTAAATACACTAGTTCTTAATATTATGACACGCTGCAATAAGAATTAATGTCTCAAATATAGATTTACAGTATAACCCCCACCTGCTCCATTGGAGCAGTTTCTGTTAAATTAAGTACATCATCTGCCTCTTTGTCCTAAAACTGCCTAAATAAGGAGGCAGGGGGTGGGGAGATGTTTCTCTCCTTGAAGCAACAACAGTAATTTTGTTTCCAGTAAGGGAAGGGATAGTCTGTGTCTAAAGGCAGGTTGTCTGAATGTTTACCCACCTAAAACATGCTGGTCCTGATACAGTTTTTTCCTTGAGTGTTTGTTTTAAGTAATTAAATGCAAAAAGTGTGTTTTGGTAAATTAAGTTTGAGACATGCAAAATCCAAGAAATGTACAGTTATTCTTAACCCTTTATCTTGAACCTGTGCTGTGGTGCCTTTGGTGTGACTTTTTCCCTGGAAGGATGACTTGAGGATAGCAGGATATGGGTACAAATTTATATTTCTTGAATTTCTCTGTGTCACAATCTTAGCATTATTTAAATCTAGTTCTTTGTATTTTTAAATGTATTAAAATGGTTTGAGTTTACCAAAGAGTGACTTATCCAAAATTGTCTCAGACAAAAGCAAACAAGAAAACAACATCACGTTGATTGTACAGGTTCAGGTTCAAAACATTGTAACAGACTGTTAAGGGGCAGGAAATGATGCATTTTTCTATAAGCCGTGATTGAGCAGTGTGTGTCCCTCCCCGTTCTTGCCTCCAAGCCATAGTCAGCTCTGCGGGCTCTGCGGCCACCAGCGTCACCCCGGGCAGCAGCACTGCCAGCGGGCAGCAGCACTGCCAGCGTGCCTTGTCACAGCGGGGTGCCAGGATCAGCACTGTCACACACACGAGGTCACCTGATGGACTTCATGTCACCAGCCCACCGAGCAGGAGGCCGTTACTTTAGCAAAGGGTGGAAGCACTGTACAGTGTCTCGTGTCTGTGCAGTTCTCAGCACAGAGCTGTTACGCATTTCATTTACAATAAATGCAAAAGTCAATAGAATATGTGAAGAAATATTTGACAGCAAAATAAGTAATGAAATTATACAGGCTGGTTCATAATTGAGTCTCTTCTTAATCTACCTTTTTAATTCTAGACAAATGTGAAAACAGTGACAGTGTCCTTTCCTCTAGATGCTTAACCTATTCTGACAAACTGTGAAAATAAAGGATTTTATACCTTTGCTAATGTTTCTGGTTTCAAACTATGATTTTAGTTTTCTTTATCAGTTATCTTCCATATTACTTCTTTTAAACTTGTAAATACATTTACAAAATAGCTTTGTAAATACTTACAGTGTATTAAAAGTTCAGTTTGGTCACTAAGGCCTCAAGATTGGCTCTGCTTTTTGAGTGTGAAATCTTTCTGTAGCATAAAGGATACTGTCAGTTCACTGTCAGCAGGGGAGACTGTAGGCCTAAATTGAGAGTTTTAATGCAGTCTTCCCCAGCATAAATTCATGTTTTATGCTGAAGCCTTTGGTTTACTTTAGACAAAACAATGAGGCCTCTTAATATGTTTAGGCTGAATTATGGGAAGAACAACAGGAATAAAGTCAAGGGCTGGGAAAATATTGAATAAGCTTTACCTTTAAATATATATATATTATTTTAATTTTTGTATTAGTTTACTGTGATTCTTTTATTGTCATTTTTCTAAACAGGTTTTACATGAAACCATTGAAAGGGACTCAAATATGCAACACCTAATCTATTTTCCAAGGGAATTTTACCCTTGAATGGTGCTTTTTGACTGGTCAGGGTTATTTATTAAATTTTATATTTGAAAGTATTTGGGGAATTATGTAAATTCTTTATATGAATCTCTTTATTTCATGAATTGTAAATTTCATAATACTCAGTGATCAAATTGGAAGTTTAGTAAAGTCATTCAAAATGTTCAAACTTTATAATCTGTGTGCATTTTACATATATTTTATCAAGTGCCAGAATACTTGTATTTAATGTTGTAGATTTAATACTACTTGCACATCCCTGTGGCAGCATTAACTTAAAGTTACGCAAGTTTACATTTAAAAAAAAAAAAAAAAAGCTAAACAAATAAGTAAGCCTGGGACATGTGTTCCAGTATTTCTTCAGGGTATGTGAAGCCACGTATCACTGACTGAGCAGGGTTGCTTCCTGCTCCTGTAGCTCACTCCTGCTATGGCAGATACAGAACTGCTGACTCCCATTCCCACAGGCCAGGGATTCAGCCTTTGAACTCCGCCTGAGAACCTCTGGTTGTAGATCTGGTTAGAGGTAGAGCTCTTGCACGATTTTAACAGTGTTTGTTTCTGACTGAAAATTTGTATTGTTAAATAAATTTTATTTGTATGGTTATTTTTCAAGATAAATAATTGAACAGTTTGAATGACTTGACTTGGTGTCATTATCTTGCAATATAAACCGGGAACCTCACACCTCCGCACTTCATCGCCACGTGAAGTAAATGAAGCTAGCTAAGCTGATGCTGTAAGATTTAGTAACTTGCCATTAAGGATTATTTTACAGCATGAACTTTAAAATATTTATTCAAATGATATTTTACTCTTGTATTCACTTTGTTTTTAGATTTGTGACATGAATATTTCTGTGCTGCTTTATTTTGTTCTGATGAATTTGTTTCTTGCTTGTAAATTGCCTTTTTTATGGTATAAAGTCAATCGGAATTGCTGTTTGTAAATTAAAATGCTTCTAGAGCAAATCTGTGGTGTCAGTGTCTACATTTAGATTTTTAATTACTGAGGAGCTTGCATTTTAGGTGCTATTACTGAAGTGTTACAAGAAGCATTTTAATACTGATCTACCAACTAGAAATCAAAAGTCTTCAGAGACAATTACTCGAAGTTTCTCTGTTTTGCCAGCATTAATTGCTCCGTTCAGAACAGACGATCACTTGAGTTGTGTGCTCCAAAACCTCACCCAACTTTCAGAGCAAAACAAAAAACTCAGCCAGGTGGTGTCAATCCATCCATGCCATTCCAAGGCCAGTCTCTCGAGGAGGGACATCCTGATTCGTTCTTCCAGCAGCTTTTATGTTTTATATTCTGCCACATACATCAGTAGGGGTAATGCTGCTCCCAGCAAGTGTAGGTACACTCCTCCTCACCCACAACATTGAATTTAACAGGAGCAGCCCCAGTGCAGCTGTAGGCATGGTTGTCTTGACTGGCAGTGGGATTTGGAGGGACTGGAGTTGAGTGGGTGAGTCCCTGAGTCCCTGTTGGTGTCAGAGTACCTATTCCAGAAAAACCTCCCTTCACATCCCTTTCTTATAAGGTCTGAAACTTCAAGTACTGCGGAATGGGGTAAACAAGACCTGACTGTTAGGAGTGGGGTAAACATACTGTTGCACTGGAATCCAGGCCACTGAGGTGATCAGGTGTCTGGAGCATCTCTGCTCTGGAGCCAGGCTGGAAGGGCTGGGGGGTGCTCACCTGGGGAAGAGAAGGGTCTGGGGAAACCTCAGAGGCATCTAAAGGGGCTCCAGGAGAGCTGGAGAGGGACTTTTGACAAGGGCCTGGAGTGCTTCCCACTGCCAGAGGGCAGGGTTAGATGGGATATTGGGCAGGAATTTTTCCCTGGGAGGGTGGCTGGACCCTGGCACAGGGTGCCCAGAGCAGCTGGGGCTGCCCCATCCCTGTAGTGTTCAAGGCCAGACGACCAGGCTTGAAGCAACCTGGTGCAGTGGAAGGTCTCTCTGCCCATGGCAGGGAGGTGGAATGAGTTGAGCTTTTAAGTCCCTTCCAACCCAAATCATTCTGATCCTATGAGCGTTCTGAAATACCTGAATTTCTCTCATTGTAGCTGGCACATCTGAATTCAGCATCAAGGGAAAAACAGACCCAGAGACTGGATACTTGTTTAAAAAATGCTGTGAAATACAACTTTCAGCAAGGCAGAAAACAGAAGACAAAGATTTTGTGAAAAAGTTTTTTAAGATGGCTAAGGAAAAAAATTGGTTTAGGTTAAAAATGACCAGTTCTGTTCACCTGATCTTTGTGTACATGCAGATACAGGCTCCATTGCTTAACTTTTCATAATGCAAACTTCTTGAAAACAGGTTGAGGGGAAGGCAGAATAGCCAATGAACGTCGCATACGGAATTTATACTTCCTGCAATAATCATGTAGAGAAAATGAAGCCGAATCCCATGGATGCTACATTTCATGAGCTATATGAAATAGCATAGTTCATTTGTATTGTGCATGGTTTTAGAAAAAAATTAAATTGAATATTATGTCAAAAGTCAGTTGAATTATAGACAGAAACATTTCATTAAAATTTAGGGAAATTTTATGGCTGATGGCATTGTCTAAAGTAAATTTACTTGTCTATGCATTCTTTTCCACCAGAGGGTGCTGGCTGATTTTTAAAAATACATTATGTAGGGGTCATTTAAGGCTCTCTACATAGCAGAAGCCTAAAATAGGAACAAAAAAAGATGTTTCCAGTCCTCATTATGACACCTTCAAGAGGAGCAGGTGCTGGGTGATTCCATTATTAGCAGAGCAGTGTTTGTACCCAGGATTTCAGAGGCTGTCCTGCTGTGCTGCATGAGACCTATCTAGGCAGTGACACCACCATTTTAGTTAAGCATCAGTTTGGTAACTGTCAGAATCTCATAATTTGGATAAGAAGTTAACTTGTTTTCAGATAGTTTTTTCCCAAATTCCTCTAGAAATACCAGTAACCGATGTATATTTTCAAAGACTGTAACACATGGAATGCTGTTTTAATGTCCTGGCATAGTGATACAGGACAGAGAAGAAAACATTTTGTCAGAGAATTCTGTACTTTTGCTCTAGTGGGAACTGATGCTATACGTATTAGAGGAAAGTGTGTTGCTTGGCAGTACAGCAATAGGATAAACTCAAATAATAATTAAATTATTGGAGATTCATATGAAATTAATTTTCTTTAGCCTTTCTGATGGGGAGGAAAGTGTAGGGAGAATATCTTCTGTGTACTACTGTACTACCTCAAGTGCCTTTGGCTTTGATATAGTTATTGGTGTTGTGAGCATCAGGACTTGTAAGCAGATTTCAAATCTATGTTTAAAGTTATTTTTACAGTTTATTATCAAATTGAATTTTTCTGCTTTGAAAAGCACACTCATACACATTTAGTTGTGATGTCTGAAGATGCTTAAAGTGCTCTGAGTTTGATAGGTACTGAAAACCTTTGATAACCAGGAAATTGGAAAGACACCTTATAAATGTATTTGGGGCATCATGCAGTGTCTCAAAGCTTCCTCTGCATACCCTCACTAGGCTTTTGTTCTCTAACATGCAAACCTGCAGGCCAGTCCGATGGGCTGCGTGGAATCCTGCATGTACCTTACCACTCCACAGAGTCTATGTTTTCCTGTAGCGATGCCTGCGCACTGTGCCTGAATGGTGCTTTTAGAGAAGCTGTAAATCAGAGAAAGGTGCACCATCCTTTTGACTCGTTGCTTCAAGTACCACTCTCAATTACCAAGAAGCCCACAAAGCTCTATTTGATTGCCTCGGAAGAACACACACGGTCACTGACCCGCAGCATCATCACCCGGACCTGAACCTGAGCCCACTTTTAGTTTCGTCGATGCACCGGCAAGGGAGAGGCACAGCCCATGATGCGGCGAGGCGACGCGAACGGCCGGCACTTCGCTGACTCCTCCGGGAGCGACCAGATCCGCTGCTCGGGGCCGAGCCGCGACCGGGAGGGACGCTCGGGCTGTTCGGAAACCCTGCCCCCGCGAGTCGCGGCCCCGCCCCGCGGTCCCCAGCCGGGCCGGGCCTCGTCCCCGGCGGCGCTGAGGGCGCCTGCCTCTCCCCGAGCGGGGTCGTGGGCGTCGCTGGGGGCGTCGCGTCCCGAACAGGTGAGCCGCGGATGAGCCCCGCGTGTCCGGCACAAAGGCTGGGACAGGCCGCCACCGCCCCTCGTCCGTCCGCCTTCTGCCGTTCCCGCTCCGGCGTGTGTTGCGGGCGGAGCTCTGCGGCGAGAGGCCCAGACGGGCGCTCGCCCTCCGGAGGCGCCGCTTGCGGGAGGGAGGCCGGCGGCTGCCGGCTCCCCGGGGGCGGCGGGGGTGCTGCCGCATCGGCGCGGCGGGCACGTGCGGTCGGTGCTGCGCGGCGCGGGGCCGGGCGGGCAGCGGGAGCTGCCGCGGTACGGGTGTGGGAGCAGATGGAAACCGCCTGGGGTTGGCCACGTCCTCCTGTGTCTATAGGAATACATTTGAAAATTGTTTGCGTATCGTGTGGATGAAACCGTGCGGGTCTTGTTTGAGAGGCTTGACTGCGACCTCTTTTCAAATCGCTTCAGATAGTTCTTGGTCTAGCTTCTGCAGGCTTGTGTCAGCCTGGGGCTTTGGCATGTAGTGGATGGAGGAATGGATTTTGAAATTCTTGGTTATAGAAGAACATCATGCCTTTTGTCTGTAGTTTGTTGTTCTGAACCCAACTAAATGGAGCATATGTATTCTTGTCATACCAATTATTGAAAAAATTGAAATGCATTGGTGTCTCTGAAATACAGAAGACTATTCCTTGCATCCTAAACCTTATCTACAAATGCTGCAATATGTTTATGTCTAACTTTGATAGTTAGATACTTTTTCTCCTGTTGACCATTCATGCCATGCCTGGTAGATATTCTTCATGTCTGAGAGGGGCAGGAAGCTGCTGTAAAGGGCAGAACTACACACACTTGCTTGTTCGTTTTCTGTATGTTGCCCATCCTGCATGAAGTAGCACCAGTTTGAAGAAAAATAAGTACAAAACACTTTCAAACCAAGTTATTTTATTAGTTTTTTCTGTTTATTTGCCTTATTTTAGTGAAGCAAAGACATCCAGAAGTTCAGGTGCGTAGTAATTACAAAGTTTGCCCTTCACTAGAATGCAGTCTGATGCAGGGCAGGCATCATGTCTGTAATTTGATTGAAATATTTAGGTAGATACTAACCCATTTTGAACTTGTCATTTTGATTATTTTATAAACTAGGATCATGTACTCATGCAAGGAGTGTCTATTGGATGAGTTTTGGGTGTGTCAAAAGAATACTGCTTTTCTAGCAAAAGATAGCTTGCTTTGACACCAGTAGGAATTGTGTATAGTTATAGTCTAGAAGACAGACTTTTTTAAGGGGCAGGTTCCCTAGTGGTAGAACGAAAATAAAAACTGTAGTAGTGGCACAGTTGTAACATGAATTGACCTGCAGTGATTTTTACCTTTATCAAAGCAACATGGGCTTTAATGAGATTTTCATGTCAATCTATATAAAGTAAGCTGTCTTAGAAATTATTTTCTTCTCATTTCATGTGTAGTTTTATTAAACATTAGGTTTTATAGAAGTTGGTATAAGGCAAAAGAAGAGAAAAGGGAAGGGCTATGTCTAATGTAAATATCACCAAAATTAGTTGTCTAAGCAGTATTTTTCTCAGGTTTGTAGCTGATCACGTTTGTTGGAAAAGCTATGGCTTTATTTGCTGATACAGAGGTAAAAGAATTACTGTATTTGGATTTGTGTCCATTTTGCTTTGTTTAGTTAAGCCTTGAAGAAAATGGTGTGCGGATGAGTAGCATTTACAATTTATAAAGCACCTTGAAAAAAGTGAGTGAAACCAATAAATAATGCATGTTGGCTTGGACCTTGTGTTGATTGACAGAGTGAGGGGGAGTTACAAGCACATATCTGGAGTATATTTAGCTCTGAAACTTATAATCCATTGCTCTTCTCTCTGTGATGTAGATGTAGTTCTTTTGAGTTTGGGAATTTGTTAAATACCGATGAAACTAGAATGGGGAATTAACAATGAAAGTTGTGAGGGAGAGGTAAGAATAAATATACCAGAGCACGTGTTTCAGGTGTGGAGTGCACAGTTTGAAAAGAATCGAGTTGTAAAATAAATGTCACCATAATCCTGTTTCCTGGTATTTATAGGAATGTTATGATTTTAAACAAGAGATAAAACTGCTGAAAGGCCAGAGCTAGACCCAGCAACAAACTAATGGAGGTGTGCAGCAAAATGGGTTGAGAGCACAGCTGCCTTATTCCACCGTAAGTATGCAATTGTATTTAAAGTTACAGGTATTTCACGTTTTCACCTATATTTGATAACCAGAAATTACAGAAGTGTCTGTCAGTTCTCTTCTGTTTAGAGAACTTGAGTTGTGGTAGTATTTTACTATAGTTTACAGGTACATGTTTCTTTTCCTGTAACTGAAGATTTTTTCCTTTCATGAAGATTCCCTTAAAGTAAAACTTCCCTAAACATGTATCTTGGTCTTCTAAGATATTCAAGTTTGCAGACTTGCTTGAAGGGTAATGACTTTTGAAGGAGGACTTCTGCTGGAGAGAGCACTGAAGCTCTGTCATGATATGGAACCTTGATGTAAAGGTTTCAAGACACGGATAAAATTCCAGTCTATGCAAAGTTCTTCAAATGGTTTCTAATGATTTGAAACCTGTACTGTATTTCTTGTCTTGATCTCAGTTTATGGTCAGCTGAATTAATCCACAGGCCATTTTATTTCTGTTACATTTTAATTATTCTTCACTAAATACAGTAAGAAGTTTCTGAGAAAACGTTATGCATGAAACTGCTAAATTGTTCATAGTGTATTTTATCTATAGGTGGTACTGTTGCCTAAAGCACAGTGAAATATCCTGGGGACTTCCTGGTGAAATGGATACTGAAAATACACAAGTGTTTGCTTTGTAAGAGCTTTAAAAAGCCATTACATTTCTGTGACTAATCTTCTGTAGTGTAATTGCTTTGTTCTTAATAAAATGTTGGTAGGCAGTTATTTAAATCCAGGCTTTCAAATGCTCTAGAATTTTTCATGTTGTCCTAATGTCCACCAAGGTCTATTGTTTAATTACGTCAAAAGGACTTTTTGAAATTAAGAGATTTTTCATATAAAGCAGTATGACCATTAACACAGCTTAACTGTCTGGTCTCATATCTGTGTTTGTACATGAAGTGGCTATCATAAAAGGGCTCAGATAATTATTTTATGAAGGAAGTGGGGTTTACATGGGTATTTTCTATAATTACTCTAGGAGATATGGTCCTTTTCCCCTCCACTTTGTAGGAATCATACGTGAGGGGATGAGAAATGGAGTTTGAGAGGTGATACTTACTGAATGGGGCACAAATGAAGACACATGGTGTTTGTACTTTTGGGAGAGGATGCTGTCAGGAGTTAAATGGTATTGGATCAGTGTTGCTCAGTGCTTTTGCGGTTTGTGTTTCCCTTCTAAATTTATTTTTTAAAAACTGCAAACCCTGCTGGTTACTTCTGTTGGTTCTACCAAGTTTATCAGTGCCCAGGTAGGGCCCTAGGGCACTTTGATTGTTCTCACTGAACCAGTTGTCCAGCTAATTTAAGCTTAAGAAAGAACATTTATCTTTTGGTAGAATGCTGAAGCATATTTTCATAAAAGCATGTTGCAGCTCTCAGTTCATGATGTGGTGGTATTAGGAAAACCATAATCAACTAATGAAAGTAGTAAGTAAATGGTTTTTGAAATCAGCTAAGCCAGTTGACTTGTTAAGTCTGGAATGGCTGAATTAGGACTGGTAAGAAGCACATACAGCTCACTATTTTTCCCTACAGTGAAAAAAATCAATAAGAGCAACAGTCATCAGTGATTGCTGACGTGGTTATCTTTGTATTTGGTGAAAGTGATGTGAACAGTCAGTCTGAACTTCCTCAGATTGCTCTGCTAGCATTCAGAAATGAGAGCGCGTGGACTTTGTTGGCCAGAAGTGGTTTTCTGTGCTTAAGAGTCTCTGACTTTCTTGTGAGTTGGGTAACTAGTACTGAGACTGAACTTACGGGCACTTCGATTTTATTACATGCATATTACAGCAATATAAAATTTGCATTTTGCTTTCAGAGAATGTTGCTTCTGTGGCATAAATAACAAGAATAGACAAATGCTGGTAAAATAATGCCTCTAAGGTTTGTTTCTGTGCTTGGTTTTGATGGTGGTATTTTTGGGTTTTTTTCCAGTTGTTTTTGCACTGTCTTCAGTTTTGCTTCAAAGAGCGCTCCATATCTAAATGGGTTTGTCATACTGGCAACGAAGAACAGACAACCTCTGGTGTCTGTTGCATCCTGATTTATCCACTTTGCTTCTGGCAGCCTATGAAGGAGCTCTACTGCAGTGTGCCTGTGAACCTCCCATGCAAACAGATAAGGTGTTTCCTTAGTTTTGATTTTTAGTGCTGTTTGTGTAATGCATCATTTTAATGATTAACCTGAGCAAGTTGAAAGAAATTGTATTAATCAAAAGCTGTGAAAAGAAGTTGTATGTCATTCAAGTGACTTCTTACATTTTATTGCCAACATTTTGGACCTTTGATAATTTCTGGGATTTGAGAGATTTCTTCTTATTCTTGTTGGTGTGAAATATGGCAAGTACAGGGGAATATTATTTTTGATATCTTTCTCTATGTTGTCTGACAGCCTCTTCATACCATGGGCATAGTATTAGCTCCTGTCTGACTTTGTATGCAGAGTGATGCTTTCTGCAGGTGGGGAAACACTTCAAATGATCAACTGGACTTGACTTAAAAGGATAATTGCTTCCTATGACTTTCACGAAGGTAGAAAAACAAGTGGGTGTGTAGAGAAGCATTTTTTCATAGATGTGAATCTTGGAGAAATCTGCACATAGGAAAAAGCAGTGCATTTTTAATGCTTGTGTTATATTTGGAACATTTTGGGGGGAAGGGCTAAGGCAAGGGAAATCTATTTTGATCCTGTCTAGAATGAAAGTTTCTAGCCTTGCAAGATTTATGCACATGCTGAATGGTGAAAGGAAAAAGGATATTAGTGCTTTTGGGTTTAGGTATTAAAGCATTTTTGTCTCACTTTGATATAATGAACATTAAAACTTGGTGTAAAACTGAACTTGGGCATGATACAAGTTCACATATGGGATTTTTCTTTCCCCTTTCACATCGTTATTGATTCCTCATGCCCTGGAAAACATATTCAGAAAGGCAGGGATGGAGGACACAAGAATATTTTTGTGGCCTTAATGTAAATGCCACATGTTAAAGAAATTACATCTACAGAATTACTTTCCACTTCAGGATTGTAAGGAGTGTTAAGAAGAGCAACTCCAGATCTAGAAATACTTAGCAGCCTGTTAGTGCTCAAAATGAGTTAACCTTATCAGGAGAAAATGTAAAAGGAATTGACTCATGCCTTGTTTAGCAGAGAAGATTTTGGCATTATTTGAAGCAAAATTAGTGACTTGTTTCATGCGAGATCCTGGGGAGAACTGTTTGTCATTGTAGGAATGAGAAGTGAAGACTTCATCTTTCTAAAGAGAGTAAAATAAGTTTTTATTCTTAGCTGTTCTGTTTTTTTCAGAATCTTTCTGTTGGTGCACTCAGTGTTGTGGGAGGGGATACAAGGACGCAGAGGGAGATGTGGCAGTATCCCTTGCTGCACATATGACCAACTACAGATTTTGCTGAAAGAGTCCATTTACAGGAATCAGTGGCAGTGCCTGCCATGGGCTCATCTGTGTGTGTTGTGGGGAATGATGGTGCAACCATGCTGTTTGCTCAGTTAAAGAGAATCAGGGCTTGAGCTGAGTTGCTAGTTCTGTAAGCAGTTTATGGTAGCCTGCAGTTTCTGAGACTTTGTCCTGTCTGGGAGAGACTTTATATAAAACTTAATTCAACATGAATGACAAATATCATGGTTATATTAACTTTTTTCCCCCCTGCATTTCTTGAGTTAAGTGGAGGTAAGGGTAAGGACTTGGCATGGCTTTAGCAATCTTCAATTGTACTCCTTCACAGGTGGTACCTGGAAAACAGCATGTATCTCCTAAGATAATATTGTTTCCTAAGTCCTTTTCTTTGAGTAGGAAAAATTAAATATCTTGTATTGCTGGGTTATTTTCTTTGTGCATTTTGGATTTTTAAATAAATTTGATTTATTCCACAAATAATTTGCTTTGCAGGAATTTCTGTTTTCTGTTTTCAACCAGTGCTGGCTGAGCTGAAACTTCCCACATCTTGTGGAGAGCATGTATAAAAGGAATGACCTCATGGCCAGTGTGATGGTCACCTCCCCCACTCCAGAGGTACAGTTCATTGGGTTTTATTAGCTCCTGTATCAAAATGGAAATTTTGGCTTGTTTCAGCTTTCACAGAATCCCTTTCCACTACTAATCAAATATCACACAAATTGTAAGAAAAGGAACTAACAAGGCAAGAGAGTAATTGTAGAACACTCCATGGTTTTTGGTGTTCACAGCCACGTTTTTTATTGTTATTGTTAATGATTACTAATTTTGTTTACTTTTAAATAACACTTTTGACCTGTTGCTCTGTAACTTAGAGCAGCCATGTATTATTGGTGAGTTCAGAGCAATGTAATATACCATCAAAATGGAGTCAGTCTTTTTGAGATGAAATTAATCATTCTGCAGATAAGCCTACTATTTTTTCTTTGTAGGGTAGTAGCAGCTCAGATTCTCTGGAAGGGCGAAGTTCGGATTATGCCAATAAAAGCTATGATGCAGTTGTATTTGATGTGTTGAAAGTAACTCCTGAGGAGTTTGCTGTAAGTATAAATGTTGTTTTTGCATTTAAGCTTGCATAATACTCAGACTTGCAGAGTACTAAAAAATGCATGAAATATTCTTTCTTTAAAAAAACCCAACTTTTAAATAAACCTCCAGTGTTTTTGAAAACAAATTTCTGACTTTATCAACTTCAATAAAATAATCCTGTCTTGGGATTTAATAATTTAGTACTGACCTGACATAGCATATTTGTTTTACTGTATAAAGTAATTTGCATTTTTTAAAGTCTTTAAGTTACCCTAGCATAGGTGAGTTCTGGTTAGTGAGGAATATGTGTATGGTTTGTAGTTAATGAAGGGCAGATAGAAATACGTCACTGTTAGCTCTTCATATTACGTGATGTAAAATTCTGTCTTTGTTTCAGAGCCAGATAACATTGATGGATATGCCAGTATTTAAAGCTATACAGCCTGAGGTAGGTTTTCTTAAACCATCTGCTTACATCTTTGGAATTCAGTGCCTGAGGAAATGTGACGATTCAAAGAATGCTTTTTTTGATCCAAAATGCTCACCTTCTTGCACTGCCTTAATGTTTTTCTAGGTATATTCCCTGTTAGTACTGTGAATCTGTAATCCAGCATTAGTTACTTTGTTTGGTCACCTGTTGCCAAAGGGGATAACTATGCTTTTCTGGAAGTCTTCTTGTCTTGCTTTGAGAGGAGTGTTTCTTCAGGATAAGTTTATCAAGTGTAAAAATTTTCTGTTCTCCCTTCTGCTGCCGTTTTTCAATTAATATCTGATTCCAGACTTTTGACTCCTGCCTCTGCTCATAGTCTCAATTTTAGACTGCATCAACTGCTTTATAAGCTTCTTAATTTGTACAATCATTTTTAAGATTCAGAATAATAAATGCTGGGATTAAATCAGCCCCAGCCCTTAAAAGTTAGTGTATTATAGTCTTTTAAGATTTTAACCTTTTAAGAAAGACACAGAAGGGAACTTGAGGCCTGTTGAAGAACAGCAGTCGAAGTTAACATAGACATTTGAAAATCAGTAATAAGAAATTGAGAAATGACAAATAAAAGTAGTTGTCAGAATATGACAAATTTGCATAAAAGTATGATAAATTTATTTACTGCTAAAGGTACAAGAATCACATGACTCCTGCTTCAGGTGTTTTTGAATACAAGAGCATGTATCCATTGTGGTTTGTTGTCTTCTTGTCCTAAGGCTGGAATATCAAGGTTATATAAAGGGCAGCCCATGCTCCCCCATAATGTCAGCAGAACTGAATTTCTGGCAACATCAGGGCAGTCAAGTTTAGAAGGTTTTTAGTGGAAGCTCTAGCCAGCTAATTAGGTCACTAACAAAACAAGTCATCATTCATTACAATAGTTCAGAGAGATTAGCAGACTTCTATTTTGAGAAAATATAGGAAGGAAGTAAAAAATTTGTCTATCTGTTGTCTGTCCTTCCTGTCAGATAATTACCTTTTTTCCCTCAAGAACACCAAGACAGTTTTATAGCTGAAAACACTTTCATGCTTCTGAAATTACATGTGTGCTCTAGGCAGTTGGGGAGACTTTTTTCCTGTGGGGAAGAAAATGGCAAAGAAACAATGCAATAAAAAATTAGCAATGCCCATAGAAAAATCTGCTGGCAAAAAATTTTCAATATGTACAAATTGATACATAGATACTTTTCCATGAGGAAGTTTTGTTTAGACAAATACCAGAACAAATTGGGTGGGTTTTTTTATTCTAACTACCTTTGCCAAAAGCAGAAGTAATGTCACACTCTGAGGAGATGAATGAACTAAAAAATAAAATACAAAACTATAGATGTTAATTTTTAAAGCAAATTTTACATTTACTTTAGTTGCTATGAAACCTGTGCCATGGAATTTTATAGCAAAAAATACGCCAAAACAATTGATTCGCTGTTCTTCTTTTCCTTTGCAATTGCTTCATTTTGCCTTTTGGAAATGAAATTTCCTGAAGTTGAAGAACTCTGGCAAATAGATGTAACTCACTGAGGAGTGATCAGAAGGAAAACTATTGTATTTTTAGCTTCTGCTAGAATATAGATATTTGAATATGTAGCAGTTACAATGAACTATTAGTTGTTAATTGTGCTTTCTGATTTTCATTTTATGGGCATCATCAATATAGTTTGTTTGCCAAAAATAAGCAACTGTTTCTATCCTGAAATTCTGACAACTGTAGGACTAGGTTTTAAAGCAAGAAATAGTTGGTGTATTTGTCGTGAAACTGTCCCTTGCTATTAGGTAAGTTATTAGACTAAGAAAGTTAACATTTTCTAGTTGAAATTTAAGGTTTTATTATTTTAACATGACCTTATGCATGGATGGAAATACCTAAGATTTTGGAGTTTTGGTTGCTAAGTCTTATCTCAAACACACAAACATCCTTTAAGTGTCGTATTTGCTGAGGCTTTTTCCTGCTTTTCACCAGCTATTACTAAAAAACACATCTGCATTTTACTTTGCAGAGTTTAGAAAGAGGATGTGTAGTTAACAATTCTTTGTTCTCCAGCAGAAATAATTATGCTTACATTTTAGATTTCTGTGTGACTTTATTTAGATTTTTTCCCAAGTCCTGAAATTGCAATCTCCACAAATTTCAGGGTTTTGCACACTTGATGGGAATGTTTTCTGTGACTGTGCATGTTGAGAAAATTCAGCATCCCTCCATACAAAAAAAAAAAAAAAAAGATGAAGTGTAATTCTTGAACACAGTATATTGTAGCAGTATTAAAAAAATCAGCAGGGGCATTTTGAATCACTCTCTTTTATCAACCTTCCTATTCAGTCTGAGTTTAAACCTAGTCAAATGATTTTTCCATACACAGGATTTTGCATGGTTACTCACTAGCCCTCTTGCAACCGCTTAATATCCTTAGTTTACTGATCTCTTCCACTTTTCTGACAAAGGTAAGTTTTGCTGTCCTAAGTAGAGTGTCTGAGATTTTTTTTTCCACATAAACATAAGATTTCTAGTATCATAAGACTAGACATGGACTGTTCATGTGGAGAATCTGTGTCCTGACAGATGCATATTGGTATTTTGATCTGCAGAAGTTTTAGGTGCTGGAGATGGGGATTCAAAATGTGCTTGGAGCAGGAAGTGCTTTTCCTGCTGCTCGCACAGGCATGTACAGATCTCTAGAGTGTGTTCCATTTATCAGCATTACAAAGTGCTTTTCAGAGGCAGAATTCTCTTTGGCTGACTCTGCCTTTTCATATAAAGGTGTCTGAAATTAGTAGTGTACATTTGGAAAGTTGAACAACATTTTGATTGAAATTGAGACTTGCGGTTCTAAAAACAAAAGAGTGATTTAGAATTAGTGTTAAGGAGAACTCAATATCAGTTTTTTAAAACAATTTTTAAATGTGTTTCCTAGGAACTAGCCAGCTGTGGATGGAATAAGAAAGAAAAACACACCCTTGCTCCAAATATTGTTGCCTTTACTAGGAGGTTTAACCAGGTATATAATTTGATTACTGCCATGTACAGGTGCTATTTGACAGTTGTCTTTGAGTATAAAGTTAAACAGAACTACTCATGTGAATTAAAACCTATTTTTCCAAATGAGGATTAAGATTTTTAAATTACAAATCCTGTTTTTAATTGCTTTGTCCACATTTTCATGTTGTTCCTGTAGACCATTTGTTCCTAATTATTAGTTCCTGATTTGTTTTGCTATGGTGCAACATTAGCAATTTTTTTTTCTGGGTTTCACTTGCTCATTCAGTTATCTTGGTGTTGTCTCACTTCTCTACCTCTTATGCTGGTAATGCTTCAGGGCAATTGCAGTGATACAGATGAGAATTCAAGCAATCAGAAATCTTTTCTTTCCTTACCCTGTTTTCTTCCTGGACCATTGTGGGAGTTTGCAAATATTTAATCTAATAGAATAATAAAGTAAATTTTTTTGTAATAAATTAAAGTTGTATGTGTTTACTTTATAGGTCAGTTTTTGGGTTGTACGAGAAATATTAACAGCACAGACCTTAAAAATAAGGGCAGAAATACTGAGCCACTTTGTGAAAATAGCTAAAGTAAGTGCAGATTTCTTACACTGTCATTGAAAACCTTAATTCCTTTGTGTTTGTTTCTGCACTACTCCTGTGAGCACTTGTTGGATTGCAGAGGGTAACAATTCTGTTTTAGCACATATGTTATGTTGTACTACATGATTAAGATAAAGGAAAGGAACGAGAACTGTTCTTTTCTGCTTGGTTAGATGAACTTACCCAGTTCAGTGGGACTCATCCTGTACCTCTATCTATCAAGTTTAAAAGTTGTTTGGGTTATTGGTGTCTAATTGTGTGTTAACAACATCAAATGTGGTTTTTGTCTCCCACCATTTTCTAACTTAACTTTTATGAAAATAAATTCCTTGCTTCTAAAATAGCTATTATGAGATTTGTATTCCTGCATGCAATTTGTAGTTGCTGGTATAAAGCACTGCTGTTAAAGCTCAGTTATTTTATTGAGTTTGAGCACTGCATTTTACTCTTAACTTTAAAAGAAACAAATTTAAAAATATTTATCTCTTTCATGACCTGCAGTCATTCTGTTTTATATGACCCTGAGTGAGACAGTACTTGGATCAAAGTCCCAAGTGCAAATTTTGTATGTGTGAAATTGCATATGTGTGTAGGTAATTAAAATATTTTCCATGTAGTACAAAACAATTTTTGTATTGCGTATTTCTAATCAATTTTCTTAGCAGTTTTGTACTTTTAGAAGAAAATTTATCTGGGTAAGTTACTGGCACAAAAAAAATAGTCCAAATAATAGGAGAATGTTTGACTAGGAGGTCCTAGGTTGTTCTTAGAAATAAGAGTTGTGGTGTTTGGGTATTTTTTAGCCTGCATGAGGGGGAACACTGCCCTCTTTTCTTCTCTTGCTGTTTTACTTTTCCTGCTTTTCCGACCATAAAGTCCAGATCTTCCTTAAATGCTTCTGAGCAGTGAGTAAATGGATCAGTCAAGGATGAATCCCGCCTCTTATTAAGCTTTACAAAGAAGCTACGTGACACAGTTCTCATTTTTCTATTTTACATTTTTATGCTTGTTGTAGCAAGCATTATCATCTTGACAGCTTTATTCCAAAGTATTGTCTGCCTGTGATCAGTGTGTTTTGAGTAATTGTCGACACAGAGTTAATTCAAAATACATTGAAGTGAGGTAAATTTTTCCTATAAAACAGATTACAGAGGTAAAAATTGTGTTAATTCTGAGAAGGTTGTCAGCATCTTTGTGTAAGGTTTTTGCTTGATTAAATATTTAATTTCTAAAATTACATGACTTCAAGAACAATGCATCAAGTACTTTTTTCCTGTTTTCTCTTCCTGAAGGAATAGCCTTAGAAAATAACAAACAAATCAAGTACTGTTTGTATTCTCTAAACTGAAATGCCTATTATATTGATGGGTATACTTGTAAAATTAGCAGCTTTTAAAGTGGTCTTAAGAATCATGCACATGACAGCATTGGGATAATATTTTGTCTGCAGTCATAGATGAAAACTTTGTATTTTATTAATGAAAAAATAATAGTTTATTAGTGCAACTTTTATATTAATTAATCCTGCTTAACTTTCAAATGTGCTAAAAGCTATTCCCTTTTTTCAGAAGCTTCTAGAACTGAACAATCTTCATTCCCTTATGTCTGTGGTGTCAGCACTGCAAAGTGCACCTATCTTCAGGCTGACTAAAACTTGGGCTGTAAGTGTTGCCTTCACCCTTGTCCCTTCTGTCTTGTTTGAATTCTGAGGTTCTTTGGAATTTGTTATATTGTAAACTCTGGAGGAATATGCTTCTATGTTCTTATTTTTGTGGTACTGTGGTACCAGCAGAAGCAGTGGTCTGTTACATGTTCTGTGAAAAGTAGAGTTTTGGCTGCATCTATTTTCCTGTAAATTTCCTTTTTCACTGTGTTCTAGAAGCCACTGGTTGTATGCTCAAGAAGACTTCTGTTGATAAGTGATCTTAGAACACCCTTGTACAGAACGTGTATCAGTGTCCCCTTATCCAAAACATAGCGTATAATTTAATACATTATCTAAAAGGAAGGAAAAATGCATGTTACAAATATACAAGCATTAATTTTCTGATTATTGTGTGATGCATCAGTTTTTATTTATGTTAGAAATTAAAAGCATTGATAATTCTATTTTTAGAAACTCCATCTCTGGAAGGTAGAATTTCTTAGCCAAACTTAGAGTAAATTTAAATATTTCTTTAAAGAGGAATACACAATTACAGGTTATTTCTACTCTATGTAATATTTAACTATACAAAGGTTTGGGTAATTCTCATCAATTAAGTATTCCACACACCATGGATCACATTGACTGTTCAGACCTTTTAAGTAAAGATGGCTATACTTAAGTCTTAGGTTTATCAAGCTTTTAAAATGCTTGCAACTATTTTATTATTTAATTGGTCAGAATGAGGTTAAAATATAATAAAAAAGTAAGTGCCTGATGTTTTGAGCAGCTCGATGAAGCTGGAAATAAATAGGGAGAATTGCTCATGTGTGAAATGAAGTATGTGACTAATTTGACTTAGACCTAAAGAGGTGCCAGGCTCTTTGTAGGCACAGTAGTTCAAAAGTACAATACATTGTAGTGGGAGGGCCTCAAGCCATTCTCAGTGCTGCTAAAAAGAAAACAGCAAAATTATTCTGATATATTCATTTCTATCCTTGCTAATTTTTTTATCCACAACTAGACTTAAAAGCTAAGCAGTACAAGATCTGGAATTTTCCAGAGGAAAAATGTGTATGAAAGAATGTGCTATGGAGCAGTTGTCTGTTGTCAGAAAGGACACATGCAAGAAGCCAGTGTACAGTGGCATCATTCTCCTCCACTCACTCCCAGCTCAATTGGCTTTTAAGACCATCTAAAAATATTGCTGGGGTTTCTTAAAAGAGATGAAACAGAAAATGTGTTCTTTTAGCTACAGTTGTATATTTTATGTTTACTTTTCAGCGTCCTGTGTCTAGGATTTTTGCATTCCGAAATGTTTTTTCTAGATTTCTGTAATAAGTATAATAAGTAGAAAACATGGATTTAATATCACAATGATATACTTTTTTCTGAAAAGTCATACTTTTAATAAGGTACTGTTAAAATAGCACAATTTGCATTTATTTAGAGCATTTCCATTGCTGTTTGTACTTTTAAGTTTAGAGGATTTTTAGCAACTCTGCTAAGTTATGAGAATATTGGTGACTGTATTATAACATACTTTTTCTCTAAAAATGTAATATTGCTGAGGTTATTCAAAACTAACTTAGCGATGTGAGAATCACTGACAAATTAGTCAGAAATAGTGGTCATGATTTTTCATAGCTTAAAACCTACACTAAATGGCCTTTTTTTTTTAAACAGGTAGCATGTTTTCAAACATTGTGCTGCTTTGGATGATGATGATTAAATGTAATATTAACTAGACTATGCTCTCCTTTACTCAGGGCAATTCAAGAAGTTACTGACTGTTAATTTTGTGTGGATTTGTCTTTGAAAATTTTATGATCTCCCTTTCCTCTGTAGCTTTTGAATCGGAAAGACAAGACCACCTTTGAGAAGTTAGACTATTTGCTGTCTAAGGAAGATAATTATAAAAGGACACGAGAGTACATCAGAAGCTTAAAAATGGTTCCTACAATTCCATATTTAGGTGAGTGTGAACAATTACCTTATTTATCTGTAGCTCATTGACAGACAAGTGCTAATGTATCTAGGTAAATGACTCACCTTTTAGGCAAAAAGGCTAAGAAACATGATTATTTTAACAAAAGACTGTCAGCTTGAACATGGGTTTAAAGCCTATTATGTGTATGTACTATAAAGATGTATTTCCAGCCATATCTCCAGCTACAGAAGAGCAACTGCTAATAGCTTTTCTAGGGAATGCCTCATTCTTGAGATCTGCACGATGGATACTGGATGTTCTGTGTTCTTTCCTCAAGCCAAGCATGAAGTAGCCTTAATGCTACTAATTGTAAGAGTACTGCAGCCAGGCTTTAGGGCCAGTAGGTACATTTAATATTTCTAATGTAAAATACAAATATTTTCTAGAATTCAGTAGATAACCCCATGGAAGATAAAGGTTGAATACTGTTTGAAAAATGTGGGTGTTTCATATAACTTACAAAAAGTTGTTCCTCCTTGGCCTGTGTGGAAATTCTGTATTGTTTTAATCTGAAAACTGTTTTGCTTTTTTGTGTTATAATATTTCCACACTTCACGCACATCAACAGTGGTTGCATATCAGAATTTGTTTGAATCAGATGCAGACTGTTGTGTAGTAATCAGTAATCTGAACTACAACAAGATGAAATCTCAACATATCAAAATAATATTTGGTACTTTATTAAGGGTTACAGTATTACAGGGGTGATCTAATATATTAAAAACCCTACTTTCAGTTATATACAGCACATGCTACATCACACACCATACTGTGGTAAAGATGTGATGAGGTAATAAGGGAAAAGTATGCAAACACACACACACAAACACTCAAGTGTCATACAGGCTGACCAAAAAATATGTTGAACTTCTAGAGGTTTTCACTCTGCCTCTTTGATGCATTCTTTAACTTGTATTTTTGTAGTAGTTTGTTTGTAATGGGTGTGTTAACAGTCTGTTATAGAAACCTATCTCAGAAGAGTATTAGAGTTATGCCAGTCTGTATTTCATAAGTGTGACTGACCTCTAAATATAAATGAGTAAATCTGTTTAGTAATTTGACAGTAATAATTGTGAAATATGTTTAAAATAACTTTTTTGCTACTGATAAGTTCTCTATATAATTTTTTTAGCTAAAGGCTATTAAATAGCTTATAAATTGGTATCCATCATTTGCCTGCAAAGTTGGATAGACCCTTTAACTTATATCCAGCCATTTCTGATTATAGAGGCTACACAGCAGGTAATCACTGAAGTCAGGTACAAAATATGGTAACAATTGTGTAGTATAACATGTTGGCTATAGAGCACATAATACCTATTATGAATCTGGATTAATTTCCATATGCAAGTAGCTACTTCATTTTGGTAAAAAATAATTCATGTTTTTAATCTAAAATATTTTAATTAATGGTGAGCATTTATAGGAGCAGATTGTTTAAATGCACTTAGTGAAGGGAAAAGGCCAGATTTACCAGGACAGTAATGGTTTGAGTATCTGCTCCCAAAACAGCATTATATAGTGCTAACTTTATTCATGGTAGTTAACAAAGAGTACATAATCATCACACTAATGTACATATACCAGCTACATATTTCAAAGGATATGATTCCTGTGTCAAATGATTGCTTATAATAACCATAACAATAATAAAACTCTTGCTGTACAGTTTGTAATATTTCCTGTATTTGAGAATATTTATACATAACATACAAAAATACTTAAATGTGGTGGCAATATTTTTTATCATCCAAACTTAATTTACAGGGAATAAAAACCAGGGAGTTTATCTACGGTTTTCATCTAAACTGCAAGTTCTAATAGGACCAAGAGGTGTTCTGAATGTTATTACAGTTCCTTTTCTTCAGCTCTTTTTCCTGGGATGATTCTTGAAAATATAATATACAAGCTCTCATACCTTACCAATAAATGTACAGTATCTTACATTCCTCATTTCTGAAAAGATAATTTCAGGTAATAAAATCATAGCTTTATGTGATTTTTATTTAGAACAACAAAGCAAACCAAGAGAAGAGTTATTTCAATGAAATGTGTTAGGGTTAGGTCTTATCATCATAACAACTTTCTTTAGTGAATACGATCCTCCCCGGAATTCAGCCCAGTAAACACCATCCTGATATCGACTGCGGTAGTGTCCTCCACGATACCAGACTCCATTGAGATTTGAGTGAGCACATGCATTGTACCACCATCCTCCCTTCTGGTAATGAGCACAGTTACCTGCAAAAGAAAGCTCCAGTTCAGGCTGAGAAGTAAATGAAAAATCTTAAAGCGAGCAACCAAAGTACAAAACTTCATTGGTTGGTTGTTCTGGGCTTTTTTTTTTTTGGTAACTGTATGTTTAACATGTAAATATCCTGTGGTACAAAGTGAACTTAGGCTTCTTCAGGAACCAGCTAAGTAGTTAGGTTCTACAGATAGAATCCTTTTTGGTTTTTTTCTTTCTCTTGCCTGAAAATCATTGAGTGTTACTGTCTCAAATAACCCTTCTTAGTATCTTTTACAGACCGTTGTATAGTGTAAAAACTTTTAATTTTGGTGTTAGTATATAAGGGTTGACACATCAGTTTGTATTTCATAAGGTGCTAATTGACAAATCCCTTTGCAAGTAGAATTTTTTTTTTTTAATGTATGACCATAAGTATTTTTCCTTTTTCAAAAGAAAGAGGTAAAAAAGGTGGGGATGGGGATGTAAAGGCAAAAATGGCAAGGCAGCTGAGAGGGACCTACCTGTGTATACGTCGTGGTCCCGGTCTAGCGTGGTGAACTGTTTGCCATTGTGCCACGTGAAAGAATCTCCTGCGTTGCCGTTGTAGCGTCCCAGTCTCAGCTTGTAGTACTCACTCTCTGGCTCCAGTCTGAAGCTGGCATACTCAGCAAATACTTTTCGACCTGACCAGTCTTCCATTGTTATGAGCAGTTTGTAGTTGCCTTGATTTGTTAACCAATAAATGTTTTCTAATCCAAGCCAGTATTCTCCATCTATATTACCAAATCCTTGCTGTAAAGGAAGCAAGAGAAGCATATTAATATCCTGCATCTGTGTTAGTGGTAAATCTGAGTGTATTCTTAAGTAGAAAACCGCAGTAACTTATTTTATAGAGACTTCCTCTTCTGGAAGGGTAAACACGCAAGTTCTTGTTCAAGTAGGCTCTTGGCCAAACTCTAAAAGCACCCTTTAACTTTATCAGTAGGTTCTAGAGGGTGGAAAACATAAATCAGCTCTCTTGTCCTAACCTTGTATGTCTCCCAGTTCCTGAAAAAGTTGACAGAGCCGTCCAGCCGTCTCTGAATGACAGTCCAGCCACCAGGGTCATGCCGTTGGTCACACCAGACCTGCATAAGCTGGTTTGTGTTTTCTGGTTTTACAAGATAGATGGAGCTTGTATCATGGCCGTCTTCTAATGCTTGTAGGCAGTCTCTCCAGGGCCCTGTGCCAAAACAGAAAGGCTCTGCATCAAACTGCTGCTGAGCATTTCTTTAATGCAGGGCAGTATTTGAGTTGGTAGCTTTTTGTACTAGTTTGGTTTCACTGAGTAGCATATTTGTTTTTCCTTTTATTAAAGGATGAGTATCCACCAGGTGTTTTCAAACAGATCTATTTATTGTAACTTTATTTCTGGAACATTTCACAATGAGTTATTGGTAAAGGTAGCTTTTGGAAACAGTTTTTTTTAAGGCAGCTGTACTGGTACTTTTACCAACAATTATGTATTTCAATTGACTCCATAGATAAATAAGAATTTCCTTTAGAAAACAAAACAGTAAGTTTGACCTTGATTCTATCTTTGAGAAATTCAGCTTTTTAGGTCCCCAAACGTGTCATTGGCATGGGCATTAACAGTGGAAGCAACAACATAAATTCCGATTGTAGGTTTTACTGCTGCCACCTTAATAAATTACAACATAACACAGAAATTACGAATTTAACATAAGGTGCTTGTGAGAGAAACTTTACATAAATGAGAGGGCTGTTAATATACTTTGAAATCAAAGAAATTGCAGTTAACACAGTCTTGTTTTCAGAAGGAGAATGCATTTTTTTTCCTTCAGTTCAACAGAGTCCATAAAGAACTTACGCTTTTTGAAGGTATCCTGTATTCCTGTTTTTTCAAGAAATTTTCTCCAGTGGTAAGATAGTTTCATTAAAACAGAATCTGAGCTATTCAGAAATAAATTATTTATAAATTCGGATAGAAATGATTTATAGGCTTTTGTTGATATCTGCAGACATGCTCCCCCAGCTGCTTTGCTTCCGCAGCAGCAGAGTGAAGTCAACAAGAATCCTCAGGATTAGAGATTAGAGCCCCTGGATTGATTTTCCCTCCCCACTGAAGGAGCAAGGCATGTCAGATCTTCTGAGTAGGAGCCTTACTGAAGCATATACTGCTGTCAAAGTAATTTATGTTTTAAATTATTTCCGTCCTATGGTTTGTCATAATTCATTGTCAAACACTACTAAAGGTACTCAGCAAATGCAAATAAATTAGTTTTATAGAAATAATCTCAGTGTTTTGGAGATTAAAACACTGAGGTTTTGGTATTTTTAACTATTTTAATCAGCAAGTCAGTGTACAAAGAGGCAATCCAAGTCTTTGTTCTGTGGATGCTGTGTTCTTGTTGCCTCAGTCACAATCAGAGACTGTACCTGGAGCTGTGCTTATAAGCCTCGTCTCCATTTCTTTTGAGGCTAACTGTTTAGATTTCTGGCAGATAAGATACAGATGCCATGCTCTTGTTACACCATTGCATGGCTCATTGAGAGATGGGAAAAAATGTTAATGAGCACTAATAATTTAAATTGCTCTGGTTTATTTTATCACAATATGTATGTAGTGGCACTTACTAAAAATAAAAAAAGTCATTATTGAAGAAGTTCTAAAACAGTCAAACAGCTTTGAGCTTGTCTTTGTAAAACAATATATAGCAGCATGCAATGTAGTATTTACACTGGTCTAATCTTG